CTTCATTAAATGACTAAGAATTATAACGGAATTGACATTTTGTGTACAACAATTCAGTATGTGTATTTTTTTTATTTTCATGATGAAATTGAAAATGTGTTGCCCAACCAAAGTTTGATGATTGGCTTTTCATTATTTGCCATTGTTGAGAGCTGCACATTCCTCGTGAGCAGAATAAAAATGTAATTTAATTTTGAGATGCTTTATTCTAAGATTCGAGAAAAAATACAAAATATGATATGTAAAATCTAAAAATTTACTTTACTATGATTTATTTGTAGCTTACTTGAAAAGTTTTGATGATCTAAAAAATGTTTCTTCATAATTCTTAATCTGTTCAATACTCTCATTTGTATTTCCTAAAGAAATGAAACAAAAAATGGTTAATAACGACAGCGATAACAACAGACACAGTGACCACTATACCCCACTTAATTATATACTTAATACATATAGAATATTTATAGGGAAATATCAGATGTCAAAATCAATGAGTTTGCCTATGTATTCCTAAAAATATTGACAGTCTTTTATTTGACCTTAACTTATGTTATGGAGCAAGCACCACAAGACATTGCTCTCACCTCTGCCAGTAACCACAGCAAAATATCCTAAAGCTTTCATAGGAAACAGCTTGCCATCTAAAATTTGTTTAATCTGAGGAAGAAACACAAAATAAGTCAATTTTCAATCACAAAATAGTATGTTTATTGAAATATATATACTAAGTACTGTAATCAACAGTTATTTTCACTTGGAATCAGTGAAAATAGAATCCAGTTTTTTGCTGCATTTTACATTTAACTCATCAATTTCTGTGTGGAAAAAATAAACTTTGTACAAAAAAACAAAAGGTTTTTTTTCAGTGAAATTAATTCCAGCTAAAATAATGTTCACAGTACAATAGTATCCAATGAAAAACAAAAACTTGGCAACTTTTTAATCACAGAGAAATGAGAAAAAAATGCATGGACGTTGGCTTCCAAGAATAGAGGGAATACTTTATTTAATTCAACATACAAATATAAAATATTTGTGAGTATTTGATAAGCTGAAAAAAACAAAATAATACTGCTTACTCGACTGGGGTTAGCAGAATTTTTCTCAGCCAAGTCAACTTTTGTCAGCACAAAGATTGTCCTTTTTCCTTCTGGGTCCATAGTGGTTGCCAAATCTGTCACTATACTTCTTTCTGCATCAACTGAACCATCTAAAAAAAACCAAAAAAAATATTATTGGTAGTGTATTCATTCAGCTGACATAGCACCCTCTATGGCTTCTATACTATCCCTTTTGTTTTTATAATCTTTGTAAAGTTGCTTTCATGTTTTCAGTGAAGAACATTTAGGCAATTTAAATGACTTCTGCATAGGACTACCATCAGTAAAAGACTAGAACAAGAAACTGACACTTCCTTTCAGTTCAGCAAGACTTGATATCATTTCTGATATCAGTGTGAATATTGATGAGAATCCCAATTCTTACAGATTCATTCGTAAGGTTTAAAATTCCTCCTGTTCCATTATCTTATTAGCAGCGTAACACATGCAAACAAGTAATATATAATGTTCCTACCTTGAATACATAATATTATTGCATTAGGGTTTTTCATGTACGATTTACTCATATTGTGGATAGCTTCCCTTGTATCGGCAGCCATGCCTGTTGTTACAGTCTGAAATGAAAGATCAGGTTCTGTAAAAAGGTGTAACTTCTTGACATACAACTTATCAAATGTGTATGTCCAGAGTGACACAGATAGACACCTTAGACACAAATATTTTCTGAAATCTTGTAAAGGGTGAGATTTTGCCCTTAAATAGTGTTCCATTGTCTTCTACAACATGTATCATCGCAGGAAAACAGAGGACATGATAATGAGGGAGATTCGCAACATTATTTGTGGGGCTCTGTCGCTCTCAACAACATCTTGGTGGTCGTTTGCGTGAATAGGGAAAAAAGGTGTCAGTAGTTGACGTGTTAACACATACCGTACTTCACCGATCATAAGCCCAGGGGCCTGAACATGTAAAATCAGAAAAATTAAGGGGTGGGCTTATACTCAAGGACCGCCTCAGAAATAATGATTTTTTTTGGTTTACAATTGTAACCATCATACCACCCACAAACAATTATCCAAATTACATCTTTCATTCACTATGCCGGTGTCAGGGGATTATTATGTCTTTTTGAAGAAAATATAGAGGGGTGGGCTTATACTCGGAGAGGGGCTTATGATCGAGGAAGTACGGTATAAGTTTCTATTGACCCGTTCCTGTCATATTAAAATTCTTTATATTTATTCAAGGATTTTATCATGAAGTATTGTCAGCTTATCATACACTCCAACCACTTTTGTTCATATAATTATATAATTTGTATGATTTGCCTTTAAACTATTTGGCTTAATGGTTAAAACAATATCATAAGATTTTATTGAATGGTACAATATGGTTTTATATTATGCTGTTGTTTACAAAACTTAGATAAAAATATAGTCAGAGAACTATTATTTCAGCAAAAAATTGATCAATTGAAAATTTATATTTTTGTGTCATTTTCCATTTGTTTCTTTGATAAGATTCTATCAAAACACAATTTTTTGGGGTGATACGTACATGTATGATTAAAATATTATATTAAGTTATGAGACGAATACACCTTATTATTTGAAAATCCTGATGATTAATCTTCATTTTTGTGTGTGAAATAAATGCTTAGGGATTCCGTTTTACAGACAGTTTGTTTCCAAAATAAATTAACAACCTTTAAGAAAGAATATTTAATTTCATGTGCTAAAAGACTGAAACCAAGTCTTCTCATGACTACTGCCACAACCCCAAAGAAGCCAGTAATCATGACACAACACTGCAATAGTTACTTACTGATATCATTCCAGGTAAATCCACTAATACCATTCTCTGTATACCCGGACCACGTACACTCAGAGAGATTGTCTGTTGGGATAAGATTTACAAAGCAGAATATTTGCAGAATTATGCCAGTGGGTATAAAAAACTAAAATTTGAATACTTTACATACTGTTTTATTGATTTATAAAAAAAAAATATGTTGAAAAATGAAATACTAGTAAAATACATTGTAGATGACAAAACATCCCAAGTTGGTTTCAGATGTGTATCGGTAACATCTCAAAAAGTTTGAATGTAACAATGGTAATTATGTCAAAGGCTAATGTCTTACATCATTGCTGACAGTCTGGCCTTTCTTCACTCTATTTTTCATTCTCAATTCAATTTCTTGTCTCAATGACTGCAACTGAAACCATACAACATGTCAAGTGTTAATTAGTGTTAAAATGAATGATCTCACTAGTCATTGTAGAACATTTTACCATCACAAATAACATTGAATGACTTTAAGAACCATTTATGTAATCTAATGTATTATTCATAAGATTTTAAATTCAGGCAAATGAATAAACAAAAAACAGATTAGTGATGGATATTTACTTTATTTGAGGCGCTGAAATAATTTTGCAAACCTTTTGGTAAGGCAGTAAATGTCCTTGGACAAAATTCTCAACAAAAATGTAGTTTGGGTTAAAAACATTTTGATCATCTTGTACATATTGTTGATCTGTTATACATGCTGAATTTTGTTCTATGATTATATGAGTTCTATTTTTAATAAATTAATTTAATCATGATAGATCATCATTAGTACTCATTGACAGCAAGTAGCTAAAACAGTAAAACGCCAGAAGCCAAGTCTAAAAAAACATTCTTACATTTTGTACACTTTGCACTGAGAAAAACAAATTATGAATTTAATTTATACTAACTTACCTCTGATTCTTTTGACAAATCATATTCCTTGTTACTGTCTTTGAATTGTGCTACGTGGTATGGGCCTTCACTTAGAGTGACTTTCACTGGTGTCCTAGTCATCATTTCACCTGATCCCCTGCAACCAAACATAATGCAACAGACACTGAGGTGAGAACAATAAATCTACTAAAGACTGTCATTATCAAATGTCAATATCGAGCAGCAATCAAACATACAGGAACTGCCATAAAATGTTAATATTTAGGCAGAAGCTTTATTTAATTTTATTAATAATAATATCTTTATTTCGTACTGTGGCCATTGGCCCTTATGTACAGATACAAATAAATACATAATAAATTAGATTGGAATGG